GTCATAGGACCCAGAGAAGCAGGTTCTTTCAGATCAACAATGATGAGCAATTCTTTGTACTTTATGGTTGAAATGTATGTGGTCTCATACTTTCAAGAATTTTGTAGATTATCTTAGAAGTCAAAGTATATGAATCATGCTTCTTAGATAACACGCTTCATTAAAATCATATGTATGAGAAGAATACTAAGGAAAAGTACTCCCTTTGTTTTGGGACATGTGTGAATTGCAGATCACTGAAGTAACACTCCCAAAATGTCCTCTGCAGAATATTCTTTTTCTGAGATAATAAGCAGTATTTAAAAAAAGAAAAAAACATTGTAGGCCCAATAAGCTTGAGAAAAATCAGATTTTAAGAAATCAAACAGGATTTTTTTTCTGCAAGATTTCTCAAAACCTTTACTATGTTGATATGCATTCTGGATCTCAAAGGAGGAATGCAACACGAGGCTTTAACTACTGTGTCTCTTTACCTGGAGTATTTTATGAGAGCCCTGGTGGTGCAGTGGTTAAGAGCTTGGCTGTTAACCAAGAAGTCGGCAGTTTGAACCCACCGACTGCTCCTTGGAAACCCTATGGGGCAGTTCTACTCTGTCCTATGGGGTCGCTATAAGTCGAAATCAACTCCAAGGCAATGGTTTGGTTTGGTTTTTTTAGAAGTCAACAGCACTCAGTTTAGGCAGCTCAAACCAAACCTTATCTCCCTTGTTTTCCTTCAAACCCTGTGCTGTTATTTTAGTGTTGATCTTGTTACCTTAATCACACTACCAAATTCACAATAAATTTGCTTTTACATGTAAAATTCATGTGGAAAATATTTCAGGGAATTTAAATCCACAGAGTTTTGTAATATTGGAGAGCCCCAAACCTATGAATGAATTTTTATGGTCTGTTAGCATATAATCTTAACTATAAAATACAATAAAAATAAAATGGTTTCACAATGCTCACATTCTTAAAAATAGGTCTTAAAGGTTACTTGGCAATTTAGGGGGAGACTTAGAGAAAGTTCTCTGAGGGACTGTGTTCAGATACTCCAAAATTTGAGTTTAAAATTGGAGCCAATTCCGTTAACGCAAATAGAAAGAAAGTGAGTTTATGTCCGTTGCTAGAAACTTTTACATTTGCAAGGGCGATAAAGCCAAATTTGTTTGTGTTCTCTAAATGATGCTACCTGATCGATTCTTGAAGGAAGATTTTTAAATGGGCAAGTCTGCTGAGATAGTGATTAAAAAGAAAAGCACTCAGTCTTTGGAGTTTTCTAGTATGTAGGCAGTTGTAGCTGTTCATATGTTTACTTTGTAAATTCCGGCTGAAGGTGCAATAGAAACTGTTTCAATTTTGCCAGACCTCACAAATTAGATTTGTACTGTTAGGCTTTTGCTAGGATTTTTTTTTTTTTTGCAGGCGTTGTAATTTTTTGCAGGTCCATAGTGATTAAGGACAACCTATTGCTGATTTATCTTCTTAAGTTTTTACCCTGAAAAGCTCTTCCTTGCAGTGGAATTTCCAGCAATAAATGCAAAAGGAATGATGGAATTAGAAAATCATCATTTGGTATAATCATACTAGTAACTGTTTCAGGAAAGAGTCATCAGTGGATGCTAAAAGTGGTGGGTTAAAGTATGAAAAACGGGATATTTGCATAGTCTCAAAGCATTTCTCCACAAGATACTTATTAAATACAAAAGGGAAAAATAGCTACTTTAAATGGAGTAACTTGGCAGACCTCATCTTAACCAAGTGCTTCCTACTTCCCAGGATGAGCATAGCTGGGGTGGGAGGAGAGACAGAGGCTGTCCAGTGACAACCCCTTCTCTCACCTCACTGCCATCTGAAAGCCGTCAGGTGTGGGGTTTCCTTCTTTTTAGTCTCCCATTCCACACTCCCCAGAGTGAGAAGAATTACTCCCTCCTCTACCAAAACACCTAATTGTCAGTTTGTCGTACTGTGGTGGCTTGTGTGTTGCTGTGATGCTGGAAGCTATACCACTGGTATTTCAAATACCAGCAGGGTCACCCATGGTGGACAGGTTTCAGTAAAGCTTACAGATTAAGACAGATTAGGAAAAAGGCCTGGTGAGCTACTTCCAAAAATTTGACCATGAGAACCCTGTGGATCACAGAATATTGTCTGAAACATTGATTCACTTACTTTGGACAAGTCACTTTGGACCGGTGGTTGGAGAAGGACATCATGTGTAGTAAAGTGGGGGGCCAGCGAGGTGAGAGAAACCCTTAATGAGGTGGATTGACACAATGGCCGCAACAATGGGCTCAGAAATACCAACAATCGTGAAGATGCTGCAGGACCAGAAGTGTTCCTTTGTGTTATGCATAAGGTTGCCATGAATCAGAGCCGACTGGACAGTAAGTAACAAGTGCTGAGGCAAATGCTACCCTCTGTTCTCAGAGTTAGATTCCATTCTGGTTGCTTTTGTTTATTTAGTAAGGATCTGCTGTGTGCTAAGGGCAGAGGATTCATCATTGAATAAGACAAGTCTCTGTTCTCAAGCCAGCACAAGAGACAAATATCTAAATAGACTATTCCAGAACCTTGTGATCCATAGATGTATCCGTGGAATGCAATAGAAGTACAAGGGGCAGAGGAAGCAGGACTGAACTAGCTGATATGCACCAGTAGGACTAGGTGGGCTCTTAAATTATTGAAAATATTTTCATATTGGTTGTTAAAAAAACAGCCTGAGCCCCTGGCCCCCTCCCCTGGAGCCCCTCACTCATGTGCCACAATAGAAAAATTAAAGGACTAAGCCTGAAGCAGCAGGAGACATCAGGACCTACTTCTGTACTTTTCCCACTTCTTTCTTATTGCCCTGATGCTGCATGGAAGGGTCAAGGGAGGCTTCCTGGAAAAGGTGAGGTGTGCCTAGAATGAATAGAAGAAGTTAGCCAGATGTTAATGGATTGACTTGTATCCCTTAAAAATATGTGTCGTAAATCGTAACTCCTAGACTTGTGGTTATAATCCTATTTGGCAATGTATTATCTTTGTTATGGTGAGGCCATACCAGTGTTGTGGTTGTTAGGTGCCGTCGAGTTGGTTCTGACTCATAGCGATCCTGTGTACAACAGAACGATATACTGCCTGGTCCTGCACCATCCTCAGAATCATTGTTATGCTTGAGCCCATTGTTGCAGCCAGTGTCAATCCATCTCATTGAGGGTCTTCCTCTTTTTCACTGACCCTCCACTTTACCAAGCATGATATCCTTCTCCAGGGACTGGTCCCTCCTGATAACATGTTCAAAGTTTGTGAGAAGAAGTCTTGTCATCCTCACTTTTGGGTTGTTTTTTTTTTTTTGTATCAGTGTAGGGTGTGTTTTAAGCCAGTCACCCTTGAGATATAAAAAGAGCAGATTAGGCATAGAAAAGCAAGTAGAGATGGGAGGAAGACAGATGCTACACCATATGACGATCACCAGGGAATCAAAGAGCAAGGACCTTCCTCCAGAGCCAACAGAGAGAGCTGGTGCCCCGAATTTGAACTTCTAGCCTCCTAAACTGTGAGAAAATAAATTTCTGTTTGTTAAAACCACTCACAGGTGGTATTTCTGTTTTAGTAACACTAGATCACTAAGACCAGGGAAAATTTATTCAGGTCCCTAGATGAGAGAGCCTGTAGCCCTGTTGAGAACCCATGGTCATGGAGTATTACAGGCTCATCTGGTGCTGGGTAAGGATGGGGTGAAATAGCCCTCAAGAGATAAGTGGAGATCCAATCAGCTAAGCCAGCTGAACTTGATCGTACAAGCTATGACATGCCTTCGAAGAAGTCTAAGAAGGAACACAATTAGATTTACGTTTTTGAAAAATACTTATGATGTAATTGAAGAAACGGGATTGAAGGGCCAGAAAATCTGTTCTCAAGCTTTTGAAGTAACTGAGGCAAAAAATGGGAGCCTGCACTATAATAGGAACCCTGGTGGCAAAGTGGTTAAAAGCATGGCCGCTAAACAAAAGGTCGGCGGTTCGAATCCACAGCTGCTCCTTGGAAACCCTATGGAGCAGTTCTACTCTGTCCTATAGGGTCACTATGAGTTGGAATCAACTTGACAGCAACTTTTTTTTTTTGATACTATAATAGGAGTCCCTGGGTGACACAGATGGTTAAGTGCTCGGCTTCTAACCAAAATGTTGGAGGTTCAAGTCCTCCCAGAGGTGCCTAGGAAGAAATGCTTGATGATCTACTTCTGAAAAAAATCAACCATTGAAAACCCTATGGAGCACAGTTCTATTCTGACACACACGGGATCACCATGAGTCAGAATCGACTCTATGGCAGAGGGTTTAGTTTTGGTTTATAATAGAAGCAGTAAGGATGTAGAGAAGTCGTTAGAATTCAAAGACATTAAAAAGGTAGAATCAGTAGTGTTTTGTGATTGGATCGGAGTGGTGAACTATATGTTATAAAATTTTAAAATCTACTTAGCATCATACAGAATGATCTGATCCAAAGTGAACCCTTTGGTTGGAGTTTTGGATGTGCTTTCAAAATTAAGAATTGATCTTGAACAGTAACTTACAATGATTACTTCATTACCAAACCCATTATTTTCTGAACATCATTTCGAGGGTAAAAACTACGCCTTGGCTAATCTTTTGGCAACTGTGATGAGGTTATAATGAAGGTTGTGTTCTTTGCAGCTTGTAAAGAGATGTAAGAACCACACAACTTGTACAGTTGTGCCAGTACACAGTTGCCATGGGTCAACTCCAACTCATGATGACCTCATGTGTGTCAGAGCAGAACTCTGTGCCACAGAGTTTTCAAAGACTAATTTTTTGGAAGTGAATTGCCAGGCCTTTCTTCTGAGGTGCCTGTGGGTGGACTCGAACTGCCAACCTTTCATGCATTAACCTTTTATGCTGCCCAGGGACTTTGCAGTTGTAGATTCCTAGTTTTAGGAAATCTGCGCTCTCCCATAGCCGCCTGGTGCCTACTGTGACTGCATCCCTTGGGTTGGTCCTCTTTTCCCCAGGATGGATCATGAAGCAGCCCAGCTGGAGAAACAGCATGTGCATGATGTGTACGAGAGCACTGCACCTTACCTCAGCGACCTGCAGAGCAAAGCCTGGCCGCGCGTCCGCCAGTTCCTCCTGGAGCAGAGGCCTGGGAGCCTCATCGCTGACATAGGTAATCCAGGGTCCTGCCCCATGGTGGAAAATACTTTCCATTGTACCTTTCATGGTCAGATTCAGTTTTCATTTCCATTCTAACAAGAAGTCTGAAATTGTATCCCTGGCACATCAGTGCCTAGAATACTCACTGTATAGCAGAAATACTTAGGATCAAGTTAGCAAGTAGAAAACTTTCCCAAATCTACATTTAGAGAGTGGCGATTTTTCAGAGCCTCTGTGCACACCCCCTCCACCAAAACGACCTGACATTGTTTGAATAGCTCAGGATTGAAATGACCACTTGTGAAATGGACCATTGTAGAGACATTCGCTTTTGTAAATATAGTGTTTTGCACTGGTAGCCCACCTTGAGTGGATCTCAAGGTTTCTACAGAAGAGCCAGAATTATGGGATTATGGAAGAGGTCCCATACCTAAATTGATTTCATAGATCCTTTCCCTTAATCGTTCTGTAGGCCTTTTGTTATTAGATCATATTTTCATTTTAGATCATATCTTCATTACCACTGATTTGCCTGGAGAACTTTGCTGAGGAACTCCCCAGGAGGGGCGGGGGGAGTGAAAAAAAGTAGTTGTTTTTGCAAACTTCAGAGGAAACAGATTAATTTACTTGTTTTCAACCAATGCTTGCCCACCATGTTTTATCGCATTGAAGCAGTGATCTGTTTTCTTCTTTCGCATGGTGTGGTGCAGAATACAAAACAGAGGAGCATGAGAGCATGCAGACACTTTCTTTGATCTTCCTTTAGCTCCATGCAAGGTTATCATTTAACGCCGTTCTGTCGGGAAGCCTGAGTGTGGCGTGCTGGAGCGTGCTGCAGTGTCCTAAATGTTCTGGTTTACTTCTTTCACGCTTAAGACAGTGGGATGACTAGGCCCGGCAATATTCTCCGTTTCCTCATTAGGATAAAATCTTCCCCTGTCTAGCTTTGCCATATATTCACTTAGAAAATGGCTAATTGCATTATATTTGGGAGTTCCACTACTGCCGTTAAGAATGAATGCATTAGAGATGAATATGGGATAAATCAAACATGCCAGGAGCATTTGAGATATTTCAGGAGCTGTTTAGATTTGAAGAGACCCCAGTTTCCTCATCATTGTCAGTTGCTCTCTTAGTCATCTAGTGCTGCTATAACACAGATACCACCAGTGGACGCCTTTAATAAAGAGGAATTTATTCTCTCACAGTCTAGGAGGCTAGAAGTCCAAATTCAGGGCGCCAGCTCCAGGGGAAAGCTTTCATTCTCTGTCGGCTCCGGGGGAAGGTCCTTGTCAGCACTCTTCCCCAGTTCAAGGGGCTTCTCAGCACAGGAACCCCAGGTCCAAAGGACAGGCTATTCTCTTAGCTCTTGTTTCTTGGTGGTATGAGGTCCCACTGTCTCTCTGCTCGCTTCTCTCTTTTATATCTCGAAAGAGATTGGCTTAAGACACAATCTAATTTTGTAGATTGAGTCCTGCCTCATAAACATAACTGCCACTAATCCCATCTCATTAACATCATAGAGATAGGATTTACAACACACAGGAAAATCACATCAGATGACAAAATGGTGGACAATCACACAGTACTGGGAATCATGGCCTGACCAAGTTGATACACATATTTCTGGGGACACAGTTCAATCCATGACACTCTGAACAGCTCCTTCTAGCTTTAATGGTCTATGAACTTTTTTTTATTAGTATCTTTGTAGTAAGTTTTCCTTCCAGTTTCTCTAAATGTAACCCCTGAGCCAATAAAAAAAGCAAAAAATAAAATTGCAAGATTATTTTTCTCAATATATGACCATCATCTCTGAAATACATAGGATTTTAATTTTAAAATACTTTATGAATTATATTTTTCCCATGATTGCTGTCAAATAATGGATATCCTTTCTCAATAAGCATCATTAGGAACAGTGGCTATTTGATCTAAAATGTTTCCAAGAACCCAGTCATTTACACTGAAATAATATTGTTGAAATTTTTTTACTCACAGACTCTCCACTGTCTTAGCTGGCACCAATGAACCTTAATTATGCTTTTAGTGTCTCATATAATTTTGAAAAGTACCTATTAAGAGAAGTTATTAAACAGTGTTGTGATGTACTTCAGAAGTAGCAAACGAATCTTTAAATAACTGTAGATACTTTTTTGAGGCAGAGAAATATGTAGCTAATACTTGTAGATATAAATATCTCCAATTGATATCTTTAAATATTTCTGGAAAGGAATTAGATGGTATGTCTGTGTTAGAATGTAATACTACGTGCTGAATGAAAGCTTTATTTCAAGATGGCTGTTCATTCACTTATGTTATTTCCATCTTCATCAATAATATCAGTAAGATCTGTGTCTTAGTCATCTAGTGCTGCTATATGAGAAATACCACAAGTGGATGGCTTTAACAGAAATTTTTCCTCTCACAGTTTAGGAGGCTAGAAGTCCGAATTCAGGGCGCCAACTCCAGGGGAAGGTTTTATCTCTCTGTAAGCTCTGGGGAAAGGTCCTTGTCATCAATCTTCCCCTGGTCTAGGAGCTTCTAAGCACAGGGACCCCAGGTCCAAAGGACGTGCTCCACTCCTGGCACTTCTTACCAGATGGCGTGAGGTCCTTCTCCTCTCTGCTGGATTCTTTTATATCTCAAAAGAGACTGACTCAAGGTACAACCTAATCTATAGACTGAGTCTTGCCTCATTAACTTAACTGCCTGTACTCCTGCCTCATTAACATCACAGAGGTTAGAATTTACAGCACCACATAGGTAATTAGATCACAAAATGGAGGACGACCACATAATACTGGAAATCATGGCCTAGCCAATTTGACACACATTTTGGGTGAACACAGTTCAATCCGTAACAGTCTGATGGATCTAAATCTTTGAGCCATATAAATCCCGAGTCATTTGGGTCTCTGCTACTGGAAGGTGAATGTCAAAAATGGTCTATTTAAGAAAAAAGTAACTCTGTCACAGCTGTACACGGTGTCAATACAGATCATTTAAAACCCAGCAATCACGTGGCTTGAATGACAAGATGTTAAAAATTTTTTCTTCATTCAAATTCAAATTTAAAAAAAACTTGAAAAGAATATTTTATTCTATTAATCTTTTATATCCATCTAAAAGCTGTTGACGATGGTTTGTTTTACATAGCCAGCAAGTGGTAAGAATGTCTGGAGAAAAAAACTCAAGAATAAATGTGGAAACATATGTACATACATTATGGAATACTTACGTGAAGATATCTGATGTTGAGACCGCACTGTCCCTGGGATACAAGGGAACTATCGTGCTGTGGGCCTGCTGTGGGCCAAGATTTTTTGGTTGTGCTACAATGTGCTAAGTCTTGTGGACATTACCTCATTAAATATTATTTCCCGTTCTCATTTCCTCTTTCTTTTCTATTCCGTATTTTATATGGGAAACTATGTGTTTCCTGAAAGCTTTCTTTTGTTATGGTGAACAGGGGCATATTACATTATGCCCTGTCTCCGTTAGTTAATAGAAACTTAGATTCCTTGTTACAAGACAAATTAGCTGATTTTCTTCCACTGTCCGTTAAGAGTAGCATGTAACACGGGTTTTTCTCTTACAGGTTGTGGGACTGGAAAGTATCTTAAAGTGAACAGCCAGGTGCATACCGTGGGCTGTGACTACTGTGGGCCATTGGTAGAGATTGCCCGGAATAGAGGATGTGAAGTCATGGTATGTGACAACCTTAATCTCCCCTTTAGGGATCAGGGCTTCGATGCTATCATCTCCATAGGAGGTAAGGCAGCCCGGTCACACGTTCACACTTCACCATGAGAATAATGTAAAATGGTTGAGTTCACTCTCACAATTCAACATCCCTTCTGCGCAGAAAGGCCTATGTCATTCATTTTACCTAATTTTAAAAATTATGTAGTTCAACTGGTTGAATTATTTAGCTAATAACTGTCAAATGCACTTGTGGTACATACGATTGTTTTAACTAGTTAAGCCTTCAGAGTGTTACTGTATATGTTTTGTTGTTGTTGTTCTAATAATACTTTATCTGCATAATGGGGAGGTGACCTGGATTTGGCCCATAGGCTGTAGTCTGCCAAACCCTGGTCTGCTGTTTATCGTTGTTCTTAGTTGCTGTTAGATGCCAGCTCATGGCGACCCCGTGGGTGCAGAGTAGAACTGCTCCTGTTATGTACTTTCTGACGATACTTTCCAATTTCTTTTACTTATGAGTAAGAAAGTACTAGAGGAATTTTAGGCACTGAAAGTAGTACTTCGTTATATTGAAATGAAGCCAGATTCTTCCAACGTGAAGTAGATTTTTAGGAGTCATATGACCGTGTCAGGCCACAGGAGTGCCCTTTATTAACAGAGTATTGTAGGACTCACCCGCTGAAGGTGACCCAGAAGAATGTGTCATCCCATCTGCCGCTCACTGGCACTCAAGTCGCCGGAGAAGCTGGGTCCCACCTGGTCCCAGATTGTGTTATTCTTATAATGCCACTCGGCTCCCTTACTGCCAAAAAGTGTTCATGAATCCCGGGAAATGTGTTCCTCATATACTCCTAACAAATGTGCCCATAAAATAGCCATGCCAAAGAAAAGAAAAAACACAGCACAAATCCATGCCTAAAATATACCCAGGTAAGACTCATTTGGCCTGATACATGCATTCCTGAAACCTAGGCTGTTAGTCACTTTTAAGTTTGCTGGAGAAATTTTGCATTTAAGGGAATCCTGCGGCAAGTTCGTTTGCACTATGAAAAACCGTTATCAAAGCAAAGTGTCTGCTCCAGTACATTTTTTTTTAATTAATCTATTTTCACATAATAAGCTCCACTAAAGCAAGGTGATCCTATATAAAACTGACTGCTATTCATGATACAAACACAGAATAAGGCTGTTTCCTCTCTCCTGAAATGGATGAGAGGTCGATTTATTCAACATTAGGTGGAGATTGTACCTTTTCTGTAGGGAGGCGAGGCAGACCTGTAACCCATAATCTTGGAACTAGTTAGGACTGACAGGGAGTGGTTGCCATGGCAACCTGCTCTGTGACAGCCGTACTTCATTGCAGTTAAAACTGTTAGGTCCATTTTGGTTGGAAGCATTAAGAGGAGAGGTTCTGGTTGAACTAAGCAACACAGTACAATGCTTGGAACCCTTAGCAGAAAGGAAGTTTTCGGCTTGGTCTTTCCCCCTAATTAGCTAGAAATCCAAGAGACATCAGAGAAGTGTATTCCGTGCTCCACTTTTGTTCACGTTAGTTTTAGGCTCCTCAAGGCTAATGACATCCAGGCAGTGCTGCTGAGCCCCTGTTAGAGACTTGTTGATTCTGTGCCTCTGCGCCTTCTGGGAAGGGCTCCATGTACGCATAGTTAAGTCCTTCTCCACTGGGTGTACTTGAAACCTCACACCTCGCCCTCAGAGGAAATAGAGCATACCACGTTCCTGTCTTCTAATTAAAAATGCGTCCTTAAATGGAAAAATAGCACGCGTTTTTAGGAGCTGTAACTGTAAATTAATGCCATGTGGTAATTATCAGCTAGGTTTCTCATTTAGAACTCTGTTATGAGGAATTTCAGTAGACTCTCTCTCTTATGCCCACGTACATTTACTTCCCTAATTACAGTTGTATGTGTTGGCATTTCTTACTCAACATAAAGAAATCTATTTTTTTGCTTTCCGTGCCCCTTAATAATAATAATGTGCGAGGTAAGCGTCTTACCCATTTATACATTCCCTGTGTTTTACTGCAGCCCTGGTGGTGCAGTGGTTAAAAGCTCGGCTGCTAACCAAGAGGTTGGCAGTTCAAATTCACCAGCAGTTCCCTGGAAACCCCATGGGGCAGTTCTATTCTTATAGGGTCACTGTGAGTCAGAATTAACTCGACAGCAACGGGTCTGGGTTTTTGGTTGGTATGTTTTACTGACAGATTAGAAATAGTGTGAATCAACTATACGTTTCATGCTAGTGGTTCTCACCCAGGGGTGATGTTCCCCCCAGGAAACATTTGAGAATGTCTGGAGGTTGTCACAACTGTGGGAGAGTGGCTACTGGCATCTGGTGAGTGGCCCCCACAAGGAATAATTAAGTAGCCTGAAACGTTAATAGTGCCCAGGTTGAGAAACCCTGCTTTACGCTAAGCCCGTAGATTCTGACTGAGATGTGCTTATAGTTAGGGAGACAAGACAGACACACCTGAATAGTTAAATAATAAGATGTCATAAAATACCAAGATGTAAAAGGACTTTAAAGACGATCCTGTGTAGCTTTCCATCTGATTCTGGAATCCAATAATTGAGTTCAGCCGACTTATTTTCTGGGCTCTCGGCAGGAAAACATTGCTATAGGATACGTATATTGTTGTATTTTTGCCTTTAAATTGTGATTATGGTTTCTCAACAAAAGGAGACATCTTTTTAATCCTTAAAAAAGTCAACAAGGTTTCCTGACATTGACAATTCATATAAATGCATCCTTTAGTCATATTTCAGTTATATTCATAGTGTTTCTTTATAGAACATGCACATATATGCATATAGAATACATTTTATATATAATGAATAAATCTTCATTTGTAAACTCATTTTTTTTTTCTTTTTCAATAACATTTGGCTTAAAGGTAGTTACTTATTATTACATGTTAAATATAAATATAAAAGAAATTCAGATATTTTCTGGGTGGAATTGTAGGATCTCAAATATTGGTAACGAATTGATGCATAATAAATGCTTAATAAGTAAATGAATATCAAGACTTTCTTCGTTAAAACAAAAACAACAAAATTTTTTTGTAAGCCTATATGGTGCAAACAGTTAACACGCTCGGCTGCTAACTGAAAGGTTGGAGGTTTGACTCCACCCAGAGGCACCTCAGAAGAAAAGCCTGGCGATCTTCTGAAAAAATAAGCCATTGAAAGCCTCGTGGAGCACAGTTCTACTCTGACACACATGAACGGACTTCAAGGCAACGGTATGTTTTGTTTTTGTTTAAATAAAAACTATAATGTTAGAGATCTATGAGTCAACTGAAAAGAAATTACTGTATTAAAATAATCCTTTTTTAATGATCCTTTTTCTTTTATGTCAAAAAAACAAAAAAAGAAGAAGATTTAGAGAACATACCCGTAGACGTTCACAGTGAATTAGGTGTAGATTATGGGAGATATTAGTGAGGACTCAGAGTCAGACATGAACTTCGTGAGTCTCTATCAGCCCTGCCCCTGCTCCCTCTTCCCTCCGGGCAGCTCAGTGACCAACACCCTGCTTCTAGAGATGTATACTTTTAAATTAACCACTTAAAGGGCTCTTTCCTTGGGGGAAAGGACAAAACAAAAAGTAAAAACACAGTCTGAGGCCTAGTGGGACAAAATGATTGGTTATCGATGGATCTAGGACAAAACCCACTGGCGTCCTGTTCTTCTAACACATTCGCACCGTGTGTGTCTAGCTTCCTCACACGGGTGCATGGTAGCCCCATTATGGTGTGATTGGAGCTGCTGTCTCACGCTCTCTCTGTCCTCACTACTCCTGTCTGAATAGGACCCTTCAGATTTTGCTTGGGACCAATTTCCTACCGGCAATACATGGTAGCCACATGTGTGGAAAAAATAACTGGATGTTTTCTCTTGACACAGTGCTCGATTAAACTCCCGCAGGAGCTAACAGATTAGCACTTTCTATATCTTGATGGATAAAAAAATGCCTAGTTACACACTGAAGACTAGGTAAAGGCAATTCTGCTGGAATCTCACTTTGGTTTTGCAGGGATTGGAAATAAAATGATGACCCGTCAGTTGATTTTTGAAAATGTACCCCATCATTTTACATTATATTAAAAATTATAAGCAGTGATTTGGACTCGTGGTGAGCTGGTTGTCTTTGCATCACCTAAACAGAAAAGCAATCTTTAACCTTTTTCTCTACTTCTGTTTGCTTTATTAGTTTTATTAACACTGACTACTGTCAGAATCCACTAGACAGCAACCGGAAGGATAGTAGTGGTATTAATCCTTGGGCGCTTCAGTAAGTTACTCACTGGAGCAATCAATTATTTCATAGAGTTCTACCAGGAAGCATTTGCCAAACTTAGGGATCCCTTTAAATTTTTATTAATTCCCAGTGGCCATCCTTCTGGTTAATAAAATTCATAGAATTTTAGAACTGGAAAAGATCTTACAGATTATTTATTCTAGGCTTCTTATTTATAGATGAATAAATTTAAAATCTATAGAATTTAAATAATTTGCCCAAGATCCCCTGTCTAATAAGTAAAGGAGCTAAAGCTAACAATTATGTCTCTCCAAAAGCTGGGCTATTTCTACCATCTGCCCTACCATGCAGGAAATAAGGAGATTTTACTATATGTAAACATTTCATCATCATTATACAGACAATATTAATATATAATGCATATGTTTTGTGTATACACATTGAGAACCAGTTTCTTCTTTTTCAGTCATACATCATTTCTCCACAAAACAAAGAAGAATCAGAGCAATAAAAGAAATGGCTAGGGTCTTAGTTCCTGGGGGCCAGCTGATGATCTATGTTTGGGCTATGGAACAAAAGAACCGTCACTTTGAGAAGCAAGATGTGCTTGTTCCGTGGAACAGGGCCTTATGTTCCCAGGTCGTCTCAGAATCCAGCCAGTCTGGGAGAAAGAGGCAGTGTGGACATGCAGAAATGAACCATCACTACCATCCTCCTTGCTCTGCGTGTAGTTGTTCTGTTTGTTTTAAAGAGAGATGCGATTCAAAGCAGTCCCACAGCATGGACCACTGTATGGCTAGAACCTGTTGTGGAACTATTCCTAAGGAAGGTGAGGAAGACAATGGATTCTATAACACATTAGGAAAGTCTTTTCGTTCCTGGTTTTTCTCCAGATCTTTGGATGAATCAGCTCTGAGGAAGCAAACCGAAAGAGCGAGACCCTCGCAAAACACAGAAGTTTGGGCCAATAGCGCTATCTCAGCGCAACCTTCCAGACATTCTAGTTTAGACCTAGGTCACCAAGAGCCGTTTCCAATGAAAGAGCAAAATTTAGATGAGGACGTGTTTGTGGAAACTTCTTCCCAGAAAAACATGCAGTGGCTGAGGGCACCAGGCACACTGAAGCATTTACATGGAGACCATCAAGCAGAAACGAAAAGAAATGGAGATGGTCATTTTCTAGAGGGCACCAACGCCAATGGGAATTGTGTGGGTGCAGGTAGCGTAGAAGATGGTAACCCTTCTGCTAGGAAAATATTGAGAAAGATTTCTACAGTTGATTCCACAGATTCCATCCCAGATGACACAATTCCTGTGGAAGAGCAACAGCAGGGCACTTTGGATTCCAGATCCTTCATGCGCTACTACCATGTGTTTCGAGAAGGTGAACTCTGTGACCTGCTCAAGGACAACGTGTCAGAGCTCCACATTCTGAGCTCGGGGAATGATCATGGCAACTGGTGCGTTGTTGCCGAGAAGAAGGAAAACTGTGATTGATTGGGTCATTTTAGACTACTCCTCCAAAAAGCGAACCACGTTCTTTGTACTCCATTTAGCATCCAGTTTTGTTATTTTTTTAACCTACTTATGTTTTGGTCTGTAGAGACTATGAATTGATCATTTTTTAAATCTTTGGGTAAGCATAGTGCTAATAATTGGTATTTATTCAATAAAGGGTATTTGTGGCCAAACATTCAACAATGTTCCATCTGAAGAGGCAATTATAAAATGCACATCAGTATGGTTTGGATTCTCTTTTCCCCTGAAAGATGACATTCTTGTAAGAATGTGTTGTTTTCCAATATTATACATTGATTTTAAAAGATTCTGTTTTTTTAATATATCTTTAAAACAGCATTTTTAAAACGTAAGGGAGTAATTTCTGTTTCTCAGGTTATAATTTATATCACTGTGCAAGATAACAGGTAAGCCTGTTCCACTGCACGAATATAAACTGCTGTTATTGTTGTTGTTAGGTGCCATTGAGCTGGTTCCCACTCACAGTGACTCTATGAACAACAGAATAAACACTGCCCTGTCCTGTGCCATCCTCACAATCATCGCTATGTTTGAGCCCATTGTTGCCTCCACTGTGTCAATCCATCTCTTTGAGGCTCTTCCTCTTTTTTGCTTGATGTCCTTCTCCAGGGACTGGTCCCTCCTGATACCATGTCCAAAGTATGTGAGATGAATTCTCACCATCCTCCCTTCTAAGGAGCATTCTGGCTGTACTTCTTCCAGGATAGATTTGTTCATTCTTCTGGCAGTCCATGGGATATTCAATATTCTTTGACAATGCCATAATTCAAAGGCATTAATTCTTCTTTGGTCTTCATTATTCATTGTCTAGCTTTCACATGCATATGAGGCAAACAAAACTACCATGGCTTCGGTCAGGTGCACCATAGTCCTCAAAGTGACATCTTTGCTTTTTAAGATTTTAAAGAAGTCTTTTGCAGCAGATTTGCCCAATTTAATGTGTCATTTGATTTCTTGACTGCTGCTTCCATGGGCATTGATTGTGGATCCAATTAAAATGAAATCTTTGGTAACTTCAATATTTTCTCCATTTATCATGATGTTGCTTATTGGTCCAGTTGTGAGGATTTTTGTTTTCTTTATGTTGAAGTGTAATCCATGCTGAAGACTGTTGTCTTTGATCTTCACAGTAAGTGCTTCAAGCCCTCTTCACTTTCAGCAAGCGAGGTTGTGTTATCTGCATATCGCATGTTGTTAATGAGTCTTCCTCCAATCCTGATGCCCCATTTCTTCTTCATATAGTCCAGCTTCTCAGAATATTTGCTCAGCATACAGACTGAATAAGTATGGTGAAAGGATACAACCCTGACACACACCTTTTCTGATTTTAAACCTTGCAGTCTCCCCTTGTTCTGTTGGAGCAACTGCCTCTTTTCTTGGTCTAGGTACAGGTTTCGTATGAGCACCATTAAGTGTTCTGGAATTCCCATTCTTTGCAATGTTATCCATGATTTGTAATGATCCGCACAGTCAAATGTCTTTGCATAATCAATAAAACCCAGGTAAACATCTTTCTGGTATTCTCTGCTTTTAGCCAAGATCCATCTGACATCAGCAGTGATATCCCTCATTCCAAGCCCGTACGACTGTACTATATGATAAATCATTTTTGCCACCAAGTCCTTGCTTCTACTAAAAGTCTTCAGAAAAGTGAGAAGCTGTGGAGAGAGACAATAACCCAAGAAGTATTGCAAGGATTTTTATGAATGACAAGCAGCCTTAAATAAGTAATAAGGTTTTCGGTGTTGCTTAGACAATTCTTAAAGGCACTGTTAGCATGTAGAGAGTGGAATATGTGGGTACCAAGAGTTGATGCAAGTACCGAAGTGATATTTTCCCAAAATTGTTAAAAGTATGAATTTCCAGTTAAAAGACTCGCCATGAGTCGGGATTGATTCTATGACAACTGGTCGTTTGTCTATAAAGAGGCAGAAATTCAACCTTTTATTAATAGGAGGTGTTTCTATATAAATCCTTAATATAACTAATAAAATATGGTTACTTTACATAAAATACATGCCTGGATTTCATTTTTAAGAATCTAACAGCAAATCCCATTCATACCACCACCAAGATTGAGTATCATGCATCTTAACAACCCTCAGAGCCAAAATAAAACAGTGCTTCAGCCAGATTCTCATTTCATAAATATTTCTTTAATCCATAGGAAAAGCATCATTGCCACATATATTTTTAATCCTAGATTTGCTGCTAGAAAGCTGTGTTTGAAGTCATGTCTTTCTGGGGTAGCCTACCATTTAGAGGTCATTACGTGGATTTCAGTTCATTAAATTGTGCTAGAATAGCTTTTGAGCTAACCTGTATGAGCAACCTCTTAAACACACACAAACCACTTTATATAAAAGGGTTCTGTAGACTGGTTCTTGAGAGAAAAATGTTTTCATGGAATTTTGACAGGGCTGTAAATAAAAGACCACTAGTAATTGCCTTCTTTCGCTCTTTGTCTGCTGAGCCCAAGAATTGTATGCATCTGGGTGTTGTTTTGTATGCTAATATTTAACTCCATACATTTACCTCTGTGGTTGGTAAACTCTCTTGAGGTGGGTTAATGTGAAAAGGTCTCTTAAAATTGCCTTTTGCTTTTGGATTTTAAAAAAAGAAAAGACATTGAAGAGCTACAAATGTAAATAGCTTGACAATTTCAAAATCTTGCTCATCTTTGGGATGGCCTTCAGAAAGAAATACAAGTCATAAGTGAATATAAACATATACATATTATTTGTGAGTGTTGGGTCAACCTCAACTTGCTTGATCATAGATTTTCTGATTTTTCTCATTTAGTTTTAGAACTTAGACTCCATTATTATTACTGGATCAAACTGTCTTTTTTTTTTCCGTCTCCTGGACTTACTGGCCTCAGGGCAAAGTCCCACTATCTGAAGTAGAGAGGAGCATTGTGGACACAGTTGGAGGGTCCTGAAAAACGTTTGCCGACTTACCAATGACTCACTGGCCTATTGGAGGAATTCCACGTAAACGGGCAGACGTGGGGCAAAGTGCGTGAACTGGGACAGACGATGCAATCAGCATTACCTTAGAGTGGGGAGCGCTGCAGGAGGCCTATCTAAACTATCGTTTTTTCAATTACCAGCACAGTGATGAAGCGACACCGGCATAGACCATCTGCACAAATGTCTTGGCCGATCTGTTGGTCTGCTCCCCGCTTCTCATCATGCAGCCCCGGGCAGGAGTGTGGGTGATTCTTGCGTTTAGTTTGCCCTTATTATTCCTTTCCAAATTCTAGGTGCCAAGAAATGCTCCCTGCCCCTCAATTGTAAGAGCAAAATTTGATGGTAATGCCAGAGAGAAGATAATCCAAATATAAATCAGCTAGAAACAGTTTGAAGCCCTGGTGATGCAGTAGTTAAGAGCTCGGCTGCTAACCAAGAGGTCGGCGGTTCAAATCCACCAGCCGCTCCTTGGAAACCCTGGGGGGCAGTTCTACTCTGTCCTACAGGGTCACTATGAGTAGGAATCGACTCGCCAGCAACGGGTTAGAAACATTAATGTGTTTGTTAATGGCTCCAAAGAGAGTAAGTACTGAAGGATTTTTAAAAACATATAAATATGTTTGGAAAACAGAAGAGCTAACCTTAAGAGTTGTTGAACTTGGTGGTAGGGTACTCCTGAAAAAGGAGCTGTGAGCACCCAGTTTGAGAGGGAGGGGGAAATGAGGACTAACCACTGGCCAAGCAGCTGCAGTCTAAGGAGAACATAATAGGACTGAGCTTCTTTATCCTTTTATGTAAAAATTTGAAATAATAATAATAATTGCAATTATTCTAAATATCTTGCATTTATTATTTTATTTGTAATTCTCACCACAGCCCACTGAGGTAAATATACTTATTGTTCCCATTTTGCAGATGAGGAAAACTGAGGCAGAAAGAAATTACTTATATTGCCCAAGATCACGCTCTAGTAAGGAGTAGAACTGAGGTAAACCCAGGCAGGCTGGCTCTGAGCCTGTGCTCTTAACCACAGCACTGTATACTCCTACCCACTGGGTCCCAGTACTGGGACGTTAAATAGCAACCTTTCAAGGTAAGTGTGATTATCCCCTTTATAGATTAGCGTTAGTGGGGTTAAGCAAAGATTACATAGCTAGACAATAATTGGATAGTGATCCTTTACATCAAGGAGTCCTACTGGCAGAGCGCTCCTTGATGTAAATAAAACCAGTTGCCATGGAGTTGATTCCCACTCACAGCGACCCCATGGGACAGAGTAGAACTGCCCCATAGGGTTTCCCAGGAGCAGCTGGTGGATTCAAACTGCCAACCTTTTGGTGAGCAGCCAAGCTCTTAACCAGTGTGCCACCAGGCCTCCAATTCTTTGATGTAAGAGAATGGTTAAGTGCTCAGCTGCTCACCAAAAGGTCAGTGGTTCAAACTCACCAGCAGCTCCACAGGAGAAAGACGTGGCAGTCTGTTTCCGTAAAGACTACAGCCTTGGAAGCCCTATGGGGCAGTTCTACTCTGTCCTGTAGGTCGCTATGAGCCAGAATCGACTCAAAGGCAATGGGTATGAGTCGGAATCGGCTCGAAGGCAATGGGTTTTGTTTTTTCAGGTAATTCCTTACATACTTTCATCCATCTTTTATATTTATTTTTTCATTTGATTTGAATGAAAAAATGGTTTTGGTCACAAAATGCTGTGTGATCACTTTTCTCCAACTCTTCAATCCTTTAAAAACTGTATTACTGTTTTCCCGTTTTATGGGAAAGTGAGATAATTGAGGGCTCTTCGTGATTTCATTCATTTACTGAGCCCCACTATATGCCTCTACTACTACCCATTGCCATGGAGTCGATTCCAACTCAGAGCGACCCTAAAAGGGACAGAGTAGCACTGCCCCGTAGGGTTTCCAAGGCTGTAATCTTTACAGAAGCAAACTGCCACTTCTCCTGAGGAGTGGCTGGTGGGTTCTAACTGCAGACCTTTTGGTTAGCAGCTGAATGCTTTAATCACTGCTCCACCCGGGGCCCACGATATGCCAGATACATAAAATAGAAGTCAATGAATATCAGGTGTGTTGAGCGTGCACAGAATATTAACTGACTAAAAGTGCCAAGCTTGAACGTTTTTCATATTCCTTGTATACCTATTACCAAGTTATATTGTATAGTTTGAGAAGAGCAATCTATAAAAACTCTCTTGGAGAATCGCAATGCATATTAGCATAATTAAGACCTGACCTAAAGTAAACTTGGACTTCATTTAATTGCACTTGCCCTAGACATACTGGTTAAGAGCTTGGTTGCTAACCAAAAGGTCAGCAGTTTAGATCCACCAGCCGCTCCTTGGAAACGTTATGAGGTTGTTCTCCTGTGTCCTAGAGAGTTGCTATGAGTTGGAATCAACTAGATGCCAACAGGTTTGGTTTTGTT